CGTGCTCTGGTTCATGGGGTCACGAAGAGTCGGACACGACCAAACGACGACGACTTAGGAATACATGTTTCTTAATACCCAGAGTGTTTTCATAATTCTTCTTTTGTTATATTTTTCATTAGAATTTCTTTGTTTATTTTAAGACCTGACTTACATCAATATTCAGTTATTGTCTCTACTAATGTTTCTATTGACATCATAGGTTCTTCTAAGATTATTACTAAATCATCAGCATAGGCTTGAATTTTGAAATCTTCTCGTTTAACCTTTAAACCTTTGATTCTCTTATCCTCTCTGATTTGTTGGTTCAGGACTTCCAGCAAGAGAACAAACAGTAGGGGGAACAGTGGGCATCATTGCCTTGTGCCTTTCTCAATTTGAATTGTTTCTGTCAGCTCTCCATTCACTTTGATTCTTGCTTCTTGTTTAGAATATATTGCTTTAATTTCTCCCATAAACTTCTCCCTAGCTTCCATTAATTGCAACTGTTTTAGCAAAAAAATTCCTGTTCATATTGTCAAAGGCCTTCTCTGCATCAAAAACTATTAATGCCATCTGTTTTTCAGGGTGGCCTTCATAGTATTCCAAGGCATTCAATACTATCCTGATATTGTTTGTGTTTTTGGTAAGAATCCTGATTGGTCCTAATGAATGATCTCCACCAAAACTTTTTTCAATCTGTTTGCTAATATTGATGCAAAAATTTTATAATCTGTGATGGCTTTTTGTTGATTATAAGTCATGTTGAGCACCAATTTACAGCAGAAAAGTAAAGCCATAATTAACAATATCAATGGTTTTCTGTTCATTTACTTACATAGAGTCCAAACAGTGGGAAAGCCTGAGCACAGAAAGCAGAGAATGTCTCCTTGGTTCATTAACAGCCCTGACTCTGGACAGCAGGCCTGAACTACAAGAGAAAGCATCGGTGTTAAAGAAGACCTTAGAAAATCTTGACTGAATTGAAAACCAAGTGCCATGTGAAACCAAGGAAGCAAAAATGTGTGCAGTGAGCTCTGAATGTGCAGAAGGGAAAGTTAAGATCACTTTGTAGCATGCATTGTTATTTGGCTGAAATAAAGATTTCTGTTCCCCATTAATTTCTTTTTATTTTTAACCATTTCAAGGAGTCTGTTTAGTGTGCAAGCCTGGCAGATATTAAAAAAAAATCAAGCTACCCTGTTTCCCTGAAAATCAGACCTAACCTGAAAATAAGCCCTAGTAGGATTTTTCAGGATGCTCACAATGTAAGCCCTACCCCAAAAATAAGCTCCAGTGAAGTGAAACCCCACCCTCCACCCTTGTGCAGCAACCAGAAGATGACAGGACTGTATTTGAATAAATGTAGATGGTTGTACATGAAAAAAATAAAATAAAACATCCCCTGAAAATAAGCCCTGTGTTTTTGGAGCAAAAATTAATATAATACCCTGTCTTATTTTCAGGGAAACACAGTACATAATGGATTTTGGAAAGCTGTCTGATCTCTGTCTGAATGAGAAGCACCTTATTAGTATGTGAGATGAGGCAACATTGTTAGTGTATAAACTGAAACAACCCTTGTAAAAGAATTAACGAAAACAACAATGGGAGCACTGGAGCAATGGCCTTTTAAAGCCTTGCCTGTCCTTTTTATGTAGTGTAATTATTACCTGGTGTTATTACATTAGTAGTGGTCTGGTTCACATTAAAACATAAACTATGATGAGGTGATACCTTTACTAGATCATTAAAAATACGGCTGACTGGATAGCTCAGTGGTTTAGCTGGAAGTTCGATTCCCCACTGTGCTTCCCAGGAGAACCAGCCTGTGTGATCTTGGGCAAGCTGCACAGTCTTAGGGTGCCCAGAAGAAGGGAATGGTAAACTGTTTCTGACTACTGTATTTTCTGCCTAGGAAACCCTTAAAAAAGGTTGCCATAAGTGAGAATTGACTTGACAGCACACTATTATTGTTTTAAAAATCATAGTCTGCTAGCTTTTTTGGCTCAAAGGCCACTTCCTCAGGTATGCCTGAGGATTTTGGTCCACAAAAGCTAGCAGATTGAATGACTTTTGTTCATCTGATAAGATATCACCTACTCCTGCATTGCATTGTGGAAGGACCACATGCCTCTCTTTGATTTTTTCGGAAGTATGAGGTTAACCTTTCTCCTAGTTTAGTCTGACCTCGTTTGGAATCCCTTCAGTGTATGCTGATGGGTCTGGTTTGTTTGTTGTTGCGAACATTTGGATAAATCCAAGCCTTCCTGTATTAAATGTGTGGATCATCCCAGATCAGAATGCACACTAAGAAAGCACTTTAATTAGTTGCCTGGAATTAAGAGTGTATTAACAGATTGGTTTAAATCAATTAAATGTTTAGAACAACACATCTCTTGCCCGAAGGTTATTTGCATGATGACCAGTACTAATAAATCTTTCTTTAAAGTATTTTTTTCAAGAACATTGTACATTTATCAAGAAATATCTTATAATAGATGTCCCGCTTCACATACATACTCCATATGTTTCTTTGGGAAACTGCAACTGTTCAAAACATCAGCCACAGTATCATCTGGTTTCTAGAAAGTAATTCTGATTTGCACAGCAAGATTTGACATCACATCCATTACATCCATTAATACAGAATAAAAATGTGATTGTATTAAATAGCCCCCTTGCCCCTTTTTCCCCCTGTAGGGATGAAAGTATAAAAAATTACATTTGCTTTAATATTAAGAAAGAATTGTTAGATGGCAAAGTTAAAATTTTTAGTTTATATAACTACAGTGGACCCTTGACTTACAGACGGCTTGACTTACAGACTTTTTGAGTTACAGACTTTTCTGGCCGCAAAATTTAGGTTTGACTTGCAGACTGAGATTTGACTTACAGACCAGAAAAAAACCAAAATGGAACAAAAACGGCCTGTTACGGGATTAAACTGTTTTCAATGCACTGTAGCTCAATGGAGACTTGACCTACAGACTTTTTGACCTGCAGCCACCGTTCCAATACGGATTAATTCTGTAAGTCAAGGGTCCACTGTACTGCCTGGACTGTATTTTCCCTGCCTTCCCTGAACCTTTCTTGACCTAAGAAAAAAAGAAACAAAATATCCCCCTCTAGTGGTTGAAATAGGAATAGCAGCTTCCCATTAATTTCTATGGACGGAAAAGAGCAGATACGGATCAAATGGTTTTCAATGCATTCCTATGGGAAATGCAGATTTGACCTGCGAACTTTTTGACTTGAGAACTGCCTTCCAATACGGATTCAGTTCTCAAGTCAAGACCCCACTGTACACAGCTGTGCATTCCTGTAAGATTTGTGTGGTTTGTCAGACATGCACAGAAAGATTGCTGTGTATAGTGCTTCTGTATGGGAATTGTTGGCTGGGGTTTGTTTTACATGAACATCTGTGCGCAGGTTGCTTGTGCCTCCTCTGGCGTGGGAGTGGCTTTTGCCTGGTACAAGTTTATACATTTTGGATCATTGTTGCCAGCCCCACATACCAGGCAAAGCCTGTTTCAACAAGAGGTAGTACATGTGCAACAGCTGCATAAATCCTTTCCAAAGTGATTTCAGCTATGCAAATTCCAGTAGTTACATTAATAATTCTTGCATAACTTGTGCAGTTGTACCTCTGCAGGTTTCCTGAGACAGCTGAGCACTGGCTAGTCAAACTAGACCTTCTAATTGGATTCTTTAATATCTGCATTTCTTTCTTAGGGAGTTTCAATACGGGTGGGGAATGTGTGAGTCTCCAGATGTTGCTGGATGGCCTGGATTGCACTGGCTCTCAGTGGAGCTTGTGTCTAGCAACATCCAGAGAACAGAGTCACACATTCTGTGCTCTTGCTTTTATACTTTTAAGTGGAAATGGATTTTAAGGGGGCTTCAAATTTACTGTCCAGAAATCTTGAAAGAGAATGTATGTGTGCATGCACAGGAGTATATAACATAGATCCCAAGTTTCGTTTTCAGCTCAAAAGAGGCGGTGGGTGGGTGAGTTTTGTTTCTGTTGTCCATCCAGTTTCAGGACTGCAGGCATGTGCCATGAACTAGCCCGTAGGGCTTAACTGAGATATAATGACTGCTGTGTGTTTTGTTGCTAGAATATGCCTGCTTGTTGAGCTTTTTGTTTTATACCTGGTAGCAATGACTAAGGACTTGTGAGATGCTGTAAGCTGGTATAAGAGATTTTAATGTCTTACAGAAAGCTGCTTGTTACCTTTTGTCCGAGTTTGCCAAGCACATTTGTAAAACAATGTTTGTAGGCTTGAGGTCTTTGCCTAATTTTTTAAAACGAATTCCCCATTTTGTCCTGCAGGAGCATTTTTTTTTAAAAAAAGGGAGAATGTCATGTTGCTTTTTTCTTTTCGCAACAGTTGTTTTAAGTGTTTTCAACAAAAGAACCTGTGACAACTATATCTAAAACATGGTCAGTTTCTGATACAACTCTTCAACAAAGGGCTTCAATATTTGAAGATGGGATCTAAAATTTGAGTTTGGAACAGCTGTTGCAGTAAATATTTCCACATGGAAATTTTATATTATCTATAATGAAGACTTAAATTCTGGAATGAAAATAAGAACTACCTGGAATCTGCAAGTTTAGTAAATAGCGTCTCTGAATCTTTTTTTTCCCTTCCAAAATTAGGTTCTGAACTTAGCAAAGAAATATGTGCCTCTCTGAAAAACCTACTTGCAAAAAATTGACTTAGAGGTCGAGATACCTGTCCCTCTTTTAAATTTGTTGACTTGATAGGGGAAAAGTGGCCTTTGGAGAGTTATGTTTTCATCTGAAAACAATTGCACTATAAAACACTGTTGCCCAAATATGGGCGCTTGTGCTGCTGTTTGATGCTGCTTTGTATACCTAGACTGAAGTGTGTATAAATTTGACACCATAGCACCCTCCTGACTTTACAAACTGTTTTATGTTGAAAGATTTCTAATGTTGCAAGAAAGTTTTCCATTAAACTCACTGCATTGAACCTCTGTATCTGGATATTGAGTATGTAAACAGGTTAACTGAAAGAAACCTAACTCCATAAAGGGTAACATTAAATAAAAGAGCATGACCCCTTCTGGGAAATAAATGGTACCGGTAATTCTCTGTTAATGGAGGATACAGTGCACACTTGGTATTTGGGGACAAAAGCTCATGTTTCAATTCCTGCATTGAGCAAGGGGTTGGACTCAATGGCCTTATAAGCCCCTTCGAGCTTCATTATTCCATGATGTTCCCCTCCCCCTGTGCTGATGTGCATATTATAGGGTGCATGCATAAAAGTAGTGTTCCCATACTTGTCATTTCAAGTCTCTTCAATTTGTACACAGACTTGGATTTCTCTTTCACAAAAGGGAAGAGCATGGTAAAACCCCTGACACGAAAGAGTGGGGCAGAGGAGGGGAGACAATACTCTAACTGTCATGCTTCATGTCATGAGAAGACTAGACTTTTCAGAAAATACTATAATGGTGACAAAAGTTGGAGGCAATATGAAATTAAAAATAACATGAGATGGATTAACTAACACAACCTTCAGTTTGCAAGGCCTGAGGGGGGTGTTAATGATACCTTTTAAGAGATCACTAATTTGTAGGGTCATCTTAAGTTTGAAAAGAACTTGATAGCACATAACTTTTAGAGTCTGTTCATCCTAACTGAAGCAATGGAGGTAAAGTGAGGAACTTTGTTCATGTAGCAGTGAACTTATGGTATCAGCTGTTAAAAGGAACAAAACCAGTGGCTGAAATCCTGTTGCATAACTGCAGAAAGATGATAAGATCACTTAGAGTGATGTTCAGTAATTAAAAACCTCCTACTGTGTTTCCCCAAAAATAAGACAGGGTCTTATGTTAATTTTTGCTCAAAAAAAACATTAGGGCTTATTTTCAGGGGATATTTTTTTCATGTACAATCATCTACATTTATTCAAATACAGTCCTGTCATCTTCTGGTTGCTGCACAATGGTGGAGGGCGGGGTTTCACTTAACTAGGGCTTATTTTTGGGGTAAGGGTTATATGAGCATCCTGAAAAAAATCATACTAGTGCTTATGTTCAGGTTAGGTCTTATTTTTGGGGAAACGGTACTTCTGTCAGTTATCATATAGGCACCGTGTGATGGTAAGATAAAGTCTTTAATTATTAAAAAAATCTCCCCCTGCAGAGGGGGAAGACTTTTGCTTACCCTCTGCCAGGCATAATTTAAACTTAAATATTCCATACTTGCTTGAAAAGTATGACAAAATGACTATAAAACCAAAGCTGAATTCCAAACCATTTGTTGGCTTTAGCTTTAAAAGCAGTAAGTAAATTTGACATTGCTGAAAAAAAATCCATCCCCGTCAGTTGTGAGAGAATTGTAAGAAGATACATGCATATACCTTTGAATCCAACATATTTTTGATCTATCTTTAAAACAACCATATGTTGCTGTCTTTATTGTGTTGATTTTACTGTATTCTCAGCTCCCTTATTCTGGTAGCTGTTCAGGAAAGAAATCTGAAAACACTTCATACATAAAATTGAACAAGATCCAGAAGTTTTAACAGATGAAGGGAACATCGCTAGCCCAGATTTCATATGAGAGACAGAAAATTATAACACATGGAATATATCAACAGTCCTATATACACGAGAATATATAATAGTCTCTACTTTTAAAGGGGAAAAAAATCACATGGTCTGCTGTGGTTGTAAAAAAACTCTTCAAACATCAACTTCTCCTCTTTGTCTCTTCTCTTTCGTTTTGGTTTTATCAGCTTTTTGCTGGGAAGTCCCACTGTTTCCATTCTGAGCTTGAGTGTAACGTGCAACAGTAGAAACACCATCCACAAACTTGGTCTTGTATAGGACGTTTGCATTATTGAACATACCATCCTTTAGTGATACCACAATGAACTAGGAACAGAAAAAAACAGAATTTCAAACATTTCGAAGGCTTTATCCTCCATGTTTTGGAGTGAAGTCTCTGACTGAATTTCCTAATTGCAGTTCTCTTTTGGAAATAAATACATGATGTGGGTTTCTGAAACATTTTTTTAATCTGCTTGTCCATTTTGAAACAATGAAAGAAGAGCAGGCTGGAATCCTAATTGATCACACGACTAACGAAAATTGCACAACTGGTTTTCACAATTTGCTGATCATTGTGCACATAGGTACACAACTGAGTACATTATCTAGGTATGTTCAAGCATGCAACAGCTAGGATTTTGGCCACAGTGTAGCAAGCAAACTGCCCCAGTGCATTGTGGGAGTCCTGAGGTGATTCAAGACTTGTAAAGGAAGACTAGGATGTATAGAAGCCACTTCCCACAGAACTACCCCTCCTATGAACCTTTGCAAGTCCCACTAAGCTTTGTGACTCCCACAGTGCACGGTGGCAGCTTCTTTGCTATTCAGAACAGAAGCAGTCTGGAGAGAGCACGAAGTCTAGAAGGGCTGCTTGGTTTTGGGCTCCATGTCCTGAATTGTGTCTGGGTGGGGGTGGTTCTCTGTGGATTCTGAGAGGGAGAGTCCTAAAAAGCTGAAATCCCGATCCCCAGGAACCAATACATAGATAGTGTCCCAAAGCCAAGACCTCAGGTGTTACGTAGCATGGCAAGAGAAAGTTTTATAGAACTGGGGGATAAGGTTCTTTCTCTCCTCTCAGCCCAGAACAGTTCAAAGATGGCTGGAGACTTGGACAGCAGCACTTCCCTTTGGATGGAGTATATTTCTTGCCCATTCCACTATCTACTACTTTAAGAAGAAGGGCAAGGGGCACAGACAGAACCACTTCCAAGCCTCCTTCAGTGACTTACTGTTCTTACCTGGGAATGTCTGAAATGAGTGCGAAGCATCTGTCCAATATTCTGGGTGTGCGAGAGATCAAGTGCTGCATCTACCTCATCCAGGATGTAAATTGGAGCAGGCTTGAAGAGAAGCATGGCTAAGATCAAAGACAAAGCTACGAGGGACCTAAAAAGTCAGATCATGAAATGTCAACGAGAGTATGTTAACTCTCCTGCTTTTAAGAATTAGCTGAAAGTGGTTCAAATGGTCTGGGTTTCTGGGACAGAAACATCATTTCTTGATCATTCCAAATTTTACATTACATTGTCAAACTGATCCCTGTTAACTTTTTAAAAGTTGCAACTGTCAAATAAACCCTCTTGGATACACATGAGACTAGCTTGGGCCCTGAATGGATTTCAATGGTGATAAGGTAAAGGTTCCCCTTGACAAATTGTCCAGTCGTGTCGGACTCTATGGTGCGGTGCTCATCCCAGTTTCTAAGCCATAGAGCCAGCGTTAGTCCATAGAGAGTTTCCACGGTCACTTAGCTAGCACGACTTGACACGGAACGCTGCTCTTGGATACACATGAGACTAGCTTGGGCCCTGAATGGATTTCAATGGTGATAAGGTAAAGGTTCCCCTTGACAAATTGTCCAGTCGTGTCGGACTCTATGGTGCGGTGCTCATCCCAGTTTCTAAGCCATAGAGCCAGCGTTAGTCCATAGACAGTTTCCACGGTCACTTAGCTAGCGCGACTTGACACGGAACGCTGTTATCTTTCCACCGAGGTGGTACCTATTTATCTACTCACATTTTTACATGCTTTCAAACTGCTAGGTTGGCAGGCGCTGGGACAAGCAATGGGAGCTCACTCTGTTGTGTGGATTCGAATTGCTGATCTTTCAACCTTGCAGCCCAGAGGCTTTTGCGGTTTAACCCACAGCACCACCACGTCCCAGGTATCAATGGTGATAACAATCATCCAATTCCAAAGCTAATGACTGCCATCTTTTAAAAGGGTTCCTTGCTAAAAGAGAAACCTATTCTGTAGACTACCATCCCTGTCTCTTCCAAAGTATACCTGTAGTTTTCTTCCCAAAATCAAATTCGCTGTACACATATGCCACATGATTCCTGAAATCGGTTCACGGGCCAGCTAAGAACTTTGCACTTTGGATGACCACAACGCAACAGACATTACCACAAAGACCAAAAGCAAAAAATCTCCAATCTCTGCTGTCCCACCAAAAATGCACTAACCTTTGGCCTCCACTTAATTCAGTTAGGTTTTCCTTCCAGGTGTTTCCCAAGGCTACTTTGAATTCCAGACCATCCAGGACACTCTGCCCTTCAGGAGGAGACAGCATAGCATTGGCCCCCGGCAAAAGGGTGGAAAAAATAGATCCAAAGTCTTTGTTTACCTAGGAAATTGAAAACTCTGTCACATTTCTGGGGCCATTTTTGAGTAAAACATACATAAGGTTGACATGAGCTGTGTGTGACCTCTGTTTTGATACACAGAGTCTTTTCAGGCACCTGACTTTGGTGGGAGATGTCTGCCAGAATTTAAGGGAACCAATAAATGGCTAATCAGGCATGAAAGGCTGGTGAAATGTAGTGTGTTCATGACTTTATGCAGATAAAGAGCACAAAGGAAAGAATGCCCCAGAGGTAAGGAGACATACCTTTTGCCAAGCTACATTTAAAGCTTCGTTTTTCTTTTGGTCAAGCTCCACAATAGTGGCAAGAATTTTAGACTTATCATTTTCAACAATCCTTTTCTTTTTCATCAAGTCATTGTACTGCAAGAGAAAGAATTGGAAACAATATAATAACAATAACAACATAATCTCACCAAAGCACATTAACTAGGGAGGTGTTTGTAAGCGAGCAAGTTTAACACTTCATGGTGTCCGCAGCTTTTTATTTGGTGCCAAGGAAACAGGAACCGACTCAGCAGCCCTAAAGAAACATCTGGAATTGGAGAACGAAAAGAGAGGAGAAAAGCATATCCTGGTCAAGGCCCAGGTGGCTGCCTTTCTTGATGACGTAGTGTGTGGACACAGAGGATCTACCTTGGCAAGTATGCCTCCGCCCTCCCCGCCCCCAGTTCCATCCAGTTAGCTTTTTTCACACCACATGGATTCTGAGAGAGCAGGCACCTAAAACACTTCAGTCAACTAGATACGGTTGGAGATCTTGGAAATGGAATTCTAAAGCTTACAAACAATGTCTAGCATATTAACTCCTGCTCATCAGCGGAGACTTGACTGTCTTCTCCTTGGTGAAAGATTCTTCAGAAGGTTTCGAAGGGCTCTTCTTGGGAGCACAGACCGCCCTTCCTGCTTAAATAGACGCCTAAGGCAAACAAAAAGTCACCAGAGCAGGTAAGGGCCGGTGTGGCTACCACATTGTCCAAGGACTTCTTTACCCATGAATCTCGTTGGCTGACTTGGGCTAATCCATTTCGCCCTAAACTACCTCACGGGATTGTTGTGAGGATAAAGTGGGAAGATGGACAGCCATGGATGCTACCTTTAACTCCTCGGAAGAAAGGTGAGGAAATGAATAGACAATGGGGGAAAGGGAGGGTAAATTAAGAGCAACTTAACTCTTTCTTCTGCTTCGGAAAGCATGTTCATCGCTCTCATGTTGACATTTCTCCCCAGCTTCTCCTTCTTCTCTTGCAGCTTCTGTAGCCTCTGGCCTGCTTCTTTGGGATTATTCGTCTTGAAATCATAAGCTGTGTTTGGCTGGCCAAAAAGGTGCTTCTCTGACGCAATCCATTCATAGTCTTTCAGCATCTTAGCTACCTAAAAACACAGAGGTTGTGGGGAAAAAGAGTTGATGATATTCGTAGAGGAACGTCCCTGCACAAAAGATATTCCTATGAAACTCTTAGCAAAGTAACTTTCCCAAACGGTATCTGCTGGAACACAGCATTGCAGAGCCCTCAAACCAGCAAGAAGTAGAAAGCTATAATCTAACATCTCAAACACCAGCATGTTTCTGCTGCAACATCCTTGGGCAACTAAAACAATGGCAAAAATCATCTGGACTTTCGATAACTTGCCATTGCCTTTCCCACCGGTTACCTGGAGAACCCTTATACAAACCAAGAAAATAAGATGTGCACCATAGAAAGAATTCAAGCCTTTCCCACCGGTTGCCTGGTTTCGATAACTTGCCATTGCCTTTCCCACCGATTGTCTGGAGAACCCTTATACAGACCAAAAGAATAAGGTGTGTACCAGAGAAAGAATTCAAGGACCCTTGTCTCGATAACTTGCCATTGCCTTTCCCACCGATTGTCTGGAGAACCCTTATACAGACCAAAAGAATAAGGTGTGTACCAGAGAAAGAATTCAAGGACCCTTGTCGGATGTCTCATAAGATGTGCACCATAGAAAGAATTCAAGGACCCTTGTTGGATGTCTCCATCACTCTCTGCTGCTCTTAGCAGGGAGGCTGGATGGACAGTGGAACGTTCCATGCGAACAAGATGCCCTACACACCAATATCATGCAGATCATGCAGTAAGCGGTGGAGTTTCACTACAGCACAGAACTGTCGGATGTCTCCATCACTCTCTGCTGCTCTTAGCAGGGAGGCTGGATGGACAGTGGAACGTTCCATGCGAACAAGATGCCCTACACACCAATATCATGCAGCAAGTGGTGGAGTTTCACTACAGCACAGAATGGGAGGCCCATCCACAAGAGGACAAGACCTCGGGGGCAACATGAACCACTGCTTGGAGATACAATAGATAGAGAGCAGACAAAAGTGGGCCCTTAATTTAAACATCATTTTGAAAAATGTACCCCTGGTTATAATTTTTTTAAAGTCAGGATACCATTGGCACATCATAATTAACCATCGGTATTGAAACTGCCGTTTCAATGGGACGTGGTGGCGCTGCGGGCTAAACCGCAGAAGCCTGTGCTGCAGGGTCAGAAGACCAGCAGTCGTAAGATCGAATCCACGCAACGGAGTGAGCGCCCGTCGCTTGTCCCAGCTCCCGCCAACCCAGCGGTTCGAAAGCATGCAAATGCAAGTAGATAAATAGGGCCCACCTCGGTGGGAAGGTAACAGCATTCCGTGTCTAAGTCGCACTGGCCATGTGACCACGGAAGATTGTCTTTGGACAAACGCTGGCTCTATGGCTTGGAAACGGGGATGAGCACCACCCCCTAGGGTCGAACATGATTGGACAAAAATAGTCAACGGGAACCTTTACCTTTACCTATTGAAACTGCATTTCATCTTGAAGAAACCTCAGCATAAAGAGCTGGATATTTTTGTTTGCTTCTTTCAAGCTGTTGTTCTGCATACTTCTTTTAAGCTGCATAAGCCACAGTTTTTGCATTTATATCAGCTTCTAACGAATACCGGTAACCAGGCAGCGGTTGCAGAAAGGGCATTTTCATCAGGTCTTGGCACAGTTTTATTTCTGTGCTGATTTGGTGGTGCCAAGGTGGGAGCAGGGTGGTGGTGTAGTAAAAACAGTGCTTACGTTTGAGGAATTCTGCATTAAATGAAACATGACCAGTAGGCTGTTGACTCACTTGGCAAGGAAGCAAATATAATTGATGTGTACCTTTGCAGATGCATCAGAAGCCTCCCGCTTATGTTTGCTGATGTTGTGCTCTAACTCTTTAATCTTCAGTTGCGATTCATTGTTTTGTTCTTTATATTTTACGACCTCTGCAGATTTGGCTCTAATTGCTTTGTCCTGGGCCATTACGACCACTTTTTGCTTAGCAAGTTTCTCTTCTGCGTTCTTCACACATTCCTGAAAATAGAAAAATGGTTCTATGGAGGGTCCCAGACAAAAAAAGTCTTAATACAAGAAGAGGGAGATGGGGAGAAGCAGGAGGCATTAATACTAAGGCAGGATGAGAAGACACTAACCTTGTTTTTTGCTACCTCCACAGATATAGCCTCAATTTGCTCTTGGAATGATTTAATAGCTTCATTCACAGCCTCAATCTGTTGTTTATAAGAAGCCTGTTCCCTTTTTAGCTCCTCTAGTTCCAACACCAAAGCTTCAACCTCCTAAACAAAGAAATAAAAATGAGAGTGATTAAGGCTGCAATGCTATGTGCACTTGCTTAGGAGGGAGTCCAGGTGAATTTGGTAGGATGTATTTTAGAGGCTTGAGTTGAAGGGGTAGTACTTCACTGGCTAAAATCCTGTAGCTTGGCATAGTAAATCAATACTAGGACCATTTTAATCACTGGAGTTTACAGTCAACTCACCAAATCTCCAGTGATCAGTGGGCCTACTTTAGTTGCAGCTTACTATACTGAAAATCAGCATTTCAGCCACTAGCTTTTAATCTAGTATAAAAGAGATCTACAGCTGGAGGTCAGAGAATTTTGAAAGCAGGGAAAAGGGCAGACAGAGCAATCCAAAAAGTGGTAGTAATCTAGCAAGATAGGGAAGCAGACGGAAAGGAAGAGGCTAAAACGGCTGTATGGGCCAGCAAAGCTTTGATCATGCAGTTTGGGGTACGAAATCCACTATGTGAATTCTTCTTCATGCCAGAGAACAGGGTACACGCTCGGATCTCAGAGAGAGTCAGCACAGTAGATGTTGTATTTTCTTGTCTGAGCTAGCTCCTGAATGCCAGCTCTGTAATCCTGGTTTATTGCAGAGAATTCAGAGTAAAGTTCAGACATTCTCTCAGTTCATCTGAGAGGCTAGCCAGTCACCACAAAAATGGCATATGCATGCGCTAGAATAAAAAGGGAACACACATGTCATAACACACCTGCAACACACTTCTTTTTCGGAGATCTGCCTACCATTGCTAATATTCACACCCAGGAGCCCCAAAGGAACTTTTAAGGAAACTCAGATCTCCCAATAAACTTTTAAACATCAGCAGATTGTAACAGTGTGAGAAAAGCAAGTTTTCTTAGTCCTGTTTAGCTAGGCTGGATCAACTAACAGGTCCCCGTCATCTGATACGTAAATCTCATTTTTATTTACAGATCCGAGTGGCTGCCAGACAATGAGGAACAGTCCAGTTCAGAGAATACCCACAACCAATTCAGCATATTTGTGATCACTAAGCCCAGCCACTCTGACCACTGCCTGGACCACTTTCCTTGTTCAGGATTCCAAAAGACACTGCAGATCAAAGTTGTTTGTTCTGAACAGTGTGGAACGTTCATTATCACCTGTCGGGAGTATGGGGTTACGCTTCTATTACTGGATTTGAAGGATGGCTGTTCAAATACCTTCCCTGGGACACAGATGTGGGACACACTGCATGGCTTGAGGCAAGCCACTATTTTTCTGCCTTGTCTACTGCCCAGAGTTTTTGTCCTCTGAGCTTTTTCAAGAAATTCGAGGGATACAAATTAAACACAGTTGGCCTAGCGTATACATCATGATGAGCCAAAGTCGAATAAGCCTTGCGCCTGCTTTGCACGTCCTCTGTCACCCTCCAGTTTCTGACAAAGAGGTCGGAAGCTTTCATCTTTATTTACCATTAACCTTAAATCAGCACTGCACCCAAGTCCTGGTCTTTCTAAACAATGCTTTGCTGAAATGAACCAGCTTCATAAACTATGGTTTAAAGTTTGGTTGCTTCAAAGAAACCATTGTTTAGATTTATCCAGACTCAACACACTGCGATCAAACATTAAGCTGTGTAAAGTCAAGAGCAGAAACAGGTTCTAATCTCCTCTGGCACTGTAAGGAAACTGGGGACAGGCCACTTAACCCAAAGTCAGGGTTTACTGAGAAGTCTGAACAGGCACAGAAACAATTTAATGCCTGAAAGTTTGCATGGTCTTTGACTGGTAAATACTGTATTTGAAAGTTTACATAAGTACCAAAGTACAAAGGTAGGTGCCACAGACATCAGTCAGCCTTAGAAGTTTCAAAAGGTTAGGTTTGGTAACAACTAATTTCAGCACCAAAAGACCTTATTTTGAATACAATAAACATTCAGTAACCTTTACCAGTTCTAACTAATTTTTGTCACTATTACAGGGCTAAGGCATTTTTACCTGTTCCTTTTCCTTCATCTTTTTGCTGGAAGCATTAGCCTTTTTCTTGGCTGCATCTAATTTCTGTTGGGCATTTTTCAATTCTTTCTCTCTCTCTGCTTCAGCATTCTTCATTTTCTTTTCCAGCACTTTGAGTTTTTCCTCTGCCTTTTTTTGTACCTCTTTCGTCTTCTTCAAAGTCTCCTCGCTTTCCTCTGAAAAGGGAGAGATGAACAAATCCAGAAAAAAAATCTATAGCAATTCTAAGTAAAATACCCTCCCCCACTCCCACCAAAACCTTTTGCTTCTGGAAACATGGAGAGATAATGAAATGTAAGGTTAAACATTCTATCTTTTTAAAAACAGCAAGCCAGTATAAACATCAACATTTTTGAAATTATTTTTTATTTAATTAGGTATTCAAGCAATACTTCTGTACTGCATCTTCATGACTGTTCATTCTGTTTTATATACTTGCTCAAGTTATGACACGCGTTCAAATAAAACTCTTATCACCCCAACCAGCATAGCCACTGGCCAGACAGGTTGGGAAACTGAGATTCAAGACATCTGGAAGACACCATGTTCCAGAAGAGGGACAATATCCTCCATGAGACATGGCCCTGGAAAACCTTAACAACTGAGATGACCTCGCACCTAGTTTTGTATGTTGCCAGTGAGGTTTTAAGGTAGTGGTCAGAATCCTACCACCGATTTAGTTATGGATGGGAACTTGCAGAATTCTTGATAGCAAATTGGTGCTCATTAACAAGGGGTCATTAATGAGCAGCAATTTGCTATCAAATGGCTTGTTCTTAGGCATGTGACCAAGAATGCAACTAATATTTCATCGGATGAACCACTATCTTCTGCCAGGATTTATGCTATTTCCCTTAAACCAACATAGACTGGGAGTAGGATTTTGACCAGTACAGTTACTGTTGCAAGGCAACCGGTGACAGTCACTTCTTGACAGTCACAATACAGATGGTACAACTGTACAGTGGTCAGTGCTTGATGTTACTGACCTTCACTGGACATCCAAAAGCCATGCATTTTTATTGCATTACTGCGTTACAATGCCTATTGGCAGGATGTTATTACAGTGGGGTCTTGACTTGAGAACTTAATCCGTATTGGAAGGCGGTTCTCAAGTCAAAAAGTCTGTAAGTCAAGTCTCCATTGACCTACAGTGCATTGAAAACCGATTAATCCCGTAACAGGCCATTTTTGTTCCATTTTGGGTTTTTTCTGGTCTGTAAGTCAAATCTCAGTCTGCAAGTCAAACCTAAATTTTGCAGCCAGAGAAGTCTAACTCAAAAAGTCTGTAAGTCAAGCCGTCTGTAAGTCAAGGGTCCACTGTATTCTGATTGCATGGCCCTATATTTCTTTCACCCCACTTCCCTCACTATTACGTCTCAGCCTTCCCTGAATTGACTCATTCCAAATACTCTGGACTAAAAAGCCCATCACCCCCAATTACAACGTAATGGCCAGGGACAATGAGAGCTATGGCCAATTATCTCCAGACAATCACATGAGGGGAGGGTGGCGTACATCTGTCACAAGTGGCTCAGAAATAGAATTCACTTTTCAAAAACCTTCTGAAGATTTACAAGAATTCTTCAGCACTGACAGAAATAAAATATGATACAAAAACCCATCTGTGAGCACGTCATGCCCCCCATGAATGTGCCACGCCCACCCATGAGTGCAGGGGGTGCCCCCGCCTCCCCACACATGGACCCTGCCCCCCAACTGGTCCGCAGTTCCAAAAAGGTTAGGGATCACTGATTTAAATGGTTATTTTTAAAATATCACAGCCCAAAATTATCTCCTGCCAACAAGCTTGTAGACCCCCAACTCAAAAGGATAGCGTTCACCGTTTTGTTCTCACCGATGGTTCTTTCCAGGGCATCCAAGCCTTCCTGCTGTTTGTGATACGCACTTTGCTGCAACTTTGTCTGCAACAGCTCAGCTTCTTCAGACTTCATCTCCCATTGCTGCTTCAGCTGGCGATACCTTAAGATATGTCATAATTTAAAAATACCTTTTATCTGAACCATTTTTACACCTTTAAAACAATTCCGTGTGGACTAGTGTTATTAATTCAATACTGTATTATAAAACCAAAGCAAGATGTATGTGGGTCATATTTGCATCTGGAAAGGACAGATGTTACACAGCTGTATGTATTGCTTTTTTAGCTAGCTTCCAGAACCAAGCAAGTATAAACATCCTAAACTTTGTCATTTCTGCTTCATCTCCATTTCCAAGGGTGGCCGTATTAGCCCTACTGAAACAAAGTAACTAACAATTATGGGATACTTTGAAGACAAACACAGGCATTGAGGCATGAGCTTCTGTGGTTATTATTACCTAGGAAAGATTCCGCTCAGAACTTGGAACAATTACTTTAACTCCTATCTAGATGGTGAGTCATAATAAAAAAAAGGGAAAATATACTCAGCTGTCCTTGAAACAACACATTATGAAATAATAATAATCTTTGACCTGCAGAGCTCAAAGAGACCCTATGGATCATCGAGTCCAGCCCCGCTCAAGAAAGCACACTGGGGAATTTACTTCCCAACCTCTGGGCTCTGCAGCCAGAGATCTAAGCCACTGAGCTATCCGGCAGTCACAATGCACTGAGAATGACCCGGCTGTGAGGTTAGAAGGGAGGCAGAAATTCCCTCCGGATTCTCTGTTGTTCATACCCCAATGCAGATCGATCCATACATACTTTTCAGCAGTCCCCTGCAGACTGGCTAGCTCCCTTTCTATCTGTTGGGACTCGGCTTCCTTCGCTTTTAATTCCTCCTGCACATCTTTCAGTTCTTGAAGTTTCGACAAAACTGATGCCGATTGTGGTCGTGCACCTGGCTCATGAAAGAAGAGAGGATGATGCAGTTGCAGGAATGCACATCAATTCGTTGCTAAGAGTCTTCAACAACATTCAGCTGTTCAGCAAGCATCCCTGTGAACTGGATCACTTGAGAAGGACTGGCTTTTGACTGAGATCAATTCACAGATTGGTGATGTTTATGTCAGATATCCACCTTATTACTTTATGCACATTTTAGGAATACATACGTGCTTCTAGCAAACTAGAGGGATTCCCACTGTGTGACACTAACTGCTCTTACGGTATAAACAGAAAGGTGGGGTCAGAAGTATGGTCTTCAGTAAGCAGACAGAAGGAGGGGGAGCCCAGTCCGTCATAATAAAAAAGGCAGATAATATTCTTCAACAGAAAGACACAAAGGGCCAAGTAAAGCATTGCTCACACATACAGCTCTGGTTAGCTGTGACAAACAGCGGCCATTCACTTCCGTAGGTCAGGCCTAGATTGGACTAGTCCAAGACTGTTTATTAGGTTTTGCTCAAAGCGTGCAAAAGAAAAGGAATGAAAGAGGTTACCTCCACTCAGTGTGCCCTGAGGATCAAAGGTGTCTCCACCAAGAGTGACTGTTTTCGTCATTATCCTTTTATCAAAGGTAACTTTCTTGGCATTGTCCATGTTATCACAAACCATTGTGCTTCCAAAAACGTATTCCATTGCTTTTTGCACTTCCGATTCATAACCCACCAGACTAAGGGCCAAGTGGACGTTATTATCACCAACCTAACATTCAAAAGAAAAAGCATCAGACTCACTCATAGAGAAAAGACGACAACTTAAACTCAAGCAGAAAGAGTCAGGCCCAAAGATTCGCTCACCTCCATCCCATTCTTTAAAACCTTATAATATAGACATACCAAATGAAGATATATCTTCAGGTTAGGGTAGTCATCTCATGACGTTCTCCCCACCTTCCAGGTTGCTGGTGGAAGGCAGGGTCCAATAAAGTCAATTGACTCTTCAAGGACCCAGGCAGGTATGGATTCCACCCCCTGTCCTGCTTGCAACACCCTGGGGCCCTCCAAGCTGGTAGAAGAAAACATACCAAGGTTTTGGCTGCTTTGATGGCCTCTTTGCTAACACAACGTGCTGAAATCTTGTTCAATGGAATAATAGTATAGCGACGCTTCAGTTCTCCCTTCTCTAGCAGTTTCTTGCCAGTAACCTAATTTAGGAAGAAAAAAAAGTATGTCTCTTATGTATTGGTCCACTTAGTTCAACACTGCTGTAAATGGACAATAGTTTGGAGCATTAACAAAAAATTCCTTCTGAGAGATCAAAAGCTTAAAATTGATTAAATTCTAGGGACTAACTCTAACCTGGCTAATGTATGCAGGGAACATGGCAAGTCGGTGTGGCTTTAGCTATTTACCTTAGACTATGTTCTTTTGTATACACCTAAACATGTAATGGCTGAAGGCAAAAGACATTTTCAAAGAGATGTCTCATAGAGGTTCACTACTGCAAGCTGGGAAAGGCTTCACCTTGGTGTCAAGCCTATGCATAAGGACTTCCAGGTTTGCTGCTACCTAAAGTGGACAAGCCCTCCAAGACCAGCCATTTCACATTTAATTACTCTTAAGAGCGCCATACCTCTGTATCCACCACTACATTGTAGAGTCGACCCCCTGCGACTACTTCTAGTGCTGTTGCCGTGGAGACATCTTTAACAGTAATCAGAGAGGCCACCAGCCCCTTGACGTGATCCGGGTTCCAGTTTTTTTCCGGATTCCTTAAAGTAAATTCAGACTGGTTAGCAAGAGTCCATTTGGTGTCAAATAATATCTGGAAAGAATGCATCGTTTCTGAACTGAGGTGCAGAAATCTTATCCTAGGCCAGGTTTCTTCTCAGCTTCTTTGATGCAAGAGAAGGAGATTCTAATGTGGCCTCTCCCAACTTGGTATCATCCAAGTGCCTTGGACTATAATTCCTATCAACCATACCACCATGTCCATTAAATGGCTGCTGTCTGGTCAGGGAATGCGATTTGTAATCAAACGGATTATTCTCTAACTTTACCTGTATTCGAAGCGTAGGTTGGGGAACTTGGTTACTAAAACTTCATAGGATTCCCTCAAGCGGTTAACCACACGGGACAACTCCCTTTGTTTTTCAGAAAGGGTTTCTTCTTTTTTATCTGCAAGAGGTAGCAAGCAAATAAAATCAGAACCCAGTGAATATCCCTGACAGGTTTCAGAGTGGAAGAAATACACTGCTGGAGCAGAACCAGTGCAAGGAAATGTAGGCAAGTGTGTGACCAATGGCTAGGTTTCAAGTTAGGGGCTCTCTCTATTCACAGCCTATAGCCTATGTTAATTGTCCCACACAATTTCAGTTATTTACATCCTGGCCATGTGTACATAACACACAATTTATTTTTCTTTCGTGCGGTGGTGACTTGTGGACCAAGTGGGGGGGGGGAGAGACCTCTCTAGAAGCAACCCCATTTGGTCCAACTTCAGCCATATGGTTCACCAGTACCAAAGGCATAAATCCACCCCTCCTGCTGCTTAAATTTTACATGTATTTTGGAGCAGCCTTTTTTCTCTGTAGCCTATGGCACGTTCCATTTACATTTCACACCTTCACAAGTTCCTTTCCTCATTATGGATATTCGATACCTTCATAATTGAGCTTCTTCATGTCATTTTCTAGTTTCTCTTTCTGCTTCTTGACTGCCTCGAAGGAATCCTGGTCTTTCTTGTAGCCACTGTCCATTTTTTTCACTTCCGCTTGTTTGGCCTTGAGCTCTTGTTGGGCATGTTTCAACTTCATCTGAGCCTGCAAGAAGCACCCAAAGATATACTGGCTCCGATTTGTATAGACCTGGCCTGTCTCTATACAGACTCTTGACAGGTAATTGAAACTGCCATCCTAGCTACATTTCCCTGGGATTAACGCTACAGAATTAAATGAGACTAATGTCTAGGTAGACATGGATATCACTGCACCATGGATGGTGGCAGAAAAATCAAGCACAGAATATTTTTATTGCGTAGAAGCAATTTTCATTACACTGTTAGAAATAATTATAATAAAACCGAGTAAAATACCGGCCTGAAATGAAAGACAAATAAAAGACGGTTTATCTTTTATCCAAAAGCTTGTTTAACGACACCATCAAAGGAGCAGCATTCCAATTAGGACTGTCTGATGTCATAACACTGTGTGCTTTCCCGTTATTTATGAAACTACTCTATTTCCACTGTAAACGTTAACATTTTCTATTACCAAAGAAAAGTTGTTCTAAGGAATTAAAGAGAGGGGGAGGCAGGAGCTGATCTTCAGAAAAAAAACACCCTTCCGTTACAACAAATGTTCAGAGAAATATAGTGACCAAGGAAGCTACATATTCCCATTATGCTTCTTTTTTTTGTTATGCATACTTTTATTGGCAAATCCCTACCTTTGTTAGCTGGAATCCTACAAATGTTCACGCTACAACAGACGTGCTAGATTTTAAGATGGCACAGGATTCCCCACCCCCAAGATACACAAACAGGGATCCTTACTTGCTTAGCTTCTGTTTCTGCTTTGCTTATCTCGTTCTTGCAAGCCATCATCTGCCCAGCAAGAGTAGCATCTTCCCCATCTTCACTGCTGGAGAGGCCGGCCGACACAGCATTGAAATGTTGCTGGGCAGCAGCCAAAGCCTCTGTGTCTGCATTGCTGACCTCTCGAAGAGCATTCAGAGCATCAGTTACCTCCTTGACTTCTTTTTCCTTTGAGACCACAGCTTTAGAATCCTACACCCCCCACCCCAAAAAAAGTTTATACATCATCAATTGGTCAATTTAAGAGTAACTTTGCAAATGTAAGCAGCCTGTGAATACAGGAGCTAAATTAATTGAAATACAATAGCCAACCTATTCTTCATGATACCTGTACAGTTTAATCTGCAACCGTACTAAGCAATCTTTGCAGTCTAGTTCTAACTATACTTTATACCCAAAGAGCCACAAACTCTACTTTGTGCCCTTCCTGGGCCTTGGCATTCAAGCCAGAATTTGTGGTTGCCAGGACCCCTCTTTCAGAGCACTCTTAAGGTTATCTGCTCAGAAGGAAGTTCCAGAGTGTCCAGTGGGACTTAACTGCAGTTAAGCATGCACAGCAGAGTAAGCAGCCTTAGGAAGCGAGTCCTGTTGAACTCGGTTGGATTTACTTTAGTGCTGTGGGTTCTTAGTGTTCTGTATTGTGTGCCCATCTCTAGGGTCCCTCCAGCTCTCCCGTTCTAAGGTTGTTGCTGTTGTTATTATTATTTCCAAATAAGTAGCCCACAGACTTCAGTAAGAAATCAGTAAGCCTGATGATACTCTTTTAGGACTTTAGCCTTAAAATGGCAGGATAAGAAGAGTCAAATTAGGATTTTGGTAGCTATTGATCTGCAACCTTTTTAAGTAGCACACGGAGGAAAATCTATCAACCATCTCTCAGAATATATATATTGACAAGGACATGATATGAACACTGTCCACATCCCTCTTGACTGGTAACATGAAAGCAAGATACGTAAATACCATTTTCTTTATAAGCGGGAAGGAAGCCTGATTTTGACTCTCACAAAAAAGAAAAATAGTTCCTTCACTCGCATGCCACGGCATGTTCTGCAAATCAAGGAAGGAAACATGAGGCTCTCTTGAGGTTGCTGGACGGTAGTTTCTCTCATTCTTCACTTGTGGCTTTGGCAGCTAGAGTTGGCGAGAGCTGCTGTCCAACAGCATCAAAGTGACCCAGGTTCCCTGTCCCAGTTGTATACATACAGAATTCAATTCTTAAAAATTAAACAAAACAAAACAAAAAAAATCAAAGTGACCCAGGTTCCCTGTCCCAGTTGTATACATACAGAATTCAATTCTTTAAAAAAAACAAAAACAAACCCACGCCGGCTTATGAATGTGGGATATTGTGCTTCTGTGTCCATGATTCAAAAAGTCAGGAAACGGCCCAATGTTGCCACACAACATCATGCCTGTTTTGCCATCCAGAAAAAAGGATGCTAAGCTTTCCATGGCAATGGGCAGCCTGGATGTTGACAACACGAATGGCAACAGTCGAGAGGGTCTACAGCAGTGCTTCCCAATTTTTGTCCACTTGCAGCTCCCCTAAGCAGCGACAGTGGAGCAGGAAGAGTGGCAAGGTCTGCTGTGCAGAGCAGGAAACAAAGAAGCAGGAAAAACCAAGAGCTGGAGCCCGCAAGAAGAGCAACAGCACTGCCGATGACACCTCAGCAAAAGAAAGAAAACTGTGTTGCTCCTGGCTGTGCACCAGAGAGCCGTGGGGTGCTGTGAGGGACGATGGGCGTTGAGGCGCATACTTTGGGAAACACTTGTCTATGAGATACCCTCTTGTGCTCACTACCATTCACAAAGCAAGACCACACAAGGGACAATCCCAAAAGCTGACTCCTTTTTTATTTAGTTCACCACTTCGGACAATCCCAGAAGCTGACTCCTTTTTTATTCAGTTAACCACTTCTCACCCAAATAAAGAACAATTGTCAGGGCTGTTTTTCAACCAGTGTGGATGGTAGTGAGCCACAATACTGCACAATACCTATTGCTGCAGAAGCATGCAGCAATAATACACCTGTAATTGTGGAAAAAATAATACTGCACAATACCTATTGCTGCAGAAACATGCAGCAATAATACACCTGTAATTGTGAAAAAAATCCAAGCCAGCTTTGCTTGCTACTGTTACCTTTAAAAGTGCGACAAGGTATTTCTTCCACAAAATTACTCTACACGCTGTACACTAGAGACGAGGGTAGGTGGACATAACGAGGGTCCAGCCCCATGGAGCCAGACGGTCCAATCACAATTCCACCGCTGCGGCAACCTCTCCGGAGCCTTCCAATGGCTCCAGAGATCGTGATCTGCGAGCCACTCTTCAACCTAGCAAAAAGGCTTGTCGTCCCGCCTCCTGTCAGGAGTGGTGAGCTGAATGCGATCTCTGGACTCATTGGAAGGCTCCGCAGTGCCTGTGACAGATCAATGAGTGGACCATCCGGCCCCATGTGGCTGGACCCTCATTATGTCCACCTGTGCATCCACCTGTACATCTCTACTGTACACTACGAGTACTTCAGAAAGGAAGCATAGCACAAGCACATACGACAGTATGACAGAAGAGCCCCTAATTCGACACGGGACCCTCCTGACTCACCTCTTCCATGCATTTTACTAATTCTTTGTGCTTTTTCTCTTCACTCTGCAGATTTTGGTTTTTGATATCAAGGGTACTTTGCACTTTGGTATCAGTCCTCTGAACTTCTGCAAGGGCTTCTTCAAGCGAATGAAGCACACCACCAAATTCCTACAAGCACAACAGTCTTTAGAAAAAAGTTTCCATATCTGCAAGTATGCCTGAAAAAGCCTGCCCACCTCTTCCTAAAACATGACACTGCATGATAGGAGACGTCCTATCAGAAAGCTTACAGGGAAGGGAAGGTAAACTGTGCTTGGGGAATCTGAGAGGTGTTTCCTGGGAAAGAGTTCCAGATCCCTCCAAAAACTGTGATAAAGGAAAAGGCCTCTTATTTGTTACTAGTAGCATTTGGATTCTGTAACAACTGAGGCATAGACTAGAGCACTGGTTCTTAACCTTGGGTTACTCAGGAGTTTTGGACTGCAACTCCCAGAAGCCTTCACCACCAGCTGTGCTGGCTGGGGTTTCTGGGAGTTGCAGTTCAAAAGCATCTGAGTAACAAAGGTTAAGAACCACTGGACTAGAGCAATGCTTCCCAACCTTGTGGCCCAAGGTTGGGGACCATTGGACTAGAGCAATGCTTCCCAACCTTGCGTCTCCAGATGTTTTGGGACTACAGCTCCCAGCAATCCTGGCCAGCATAGCTATTGGCGAAGGCTTCTGGGAGTTTTAGTCCAAGAACACCTTGGGGCACAAGATTAGGAACCAATGGGACCTTTATGAAGTTTCTGACCCTATGGCAGGGTCAGCCTAGAACATATTTTGTGGGCAGCATTCTCTGTAATAATCTATGTTGCAAAGTGGTTTCTTATCTCAAGAGTGTCTTCCTCAGGCTCAGGGTCCATGAAACAGAAAGGGCACAACTGAACGTAGGGGGCTCAAATTAAAAAAGCTCTGCTACTTATCTGTAGTTTTTCAGTTCAGCTATTTTTATTTATTTATTTCTCAGACTGATTGGTCACACTGTAGCCAATCCCTCTTATGGTATATATTCCTCATCGACCATGATTCAAAATCATAACAATGCAATTTTCAAGTGATATGGGGGGGGAACACAGTATTACATATCCTACACATAGTACAGTAAACAAGGAGACAGAATTCCTAACATATTTCAAGGAACAGTTTATCGGGTCTTACTTGATCTCTTTTCTTTTCCATTTCTGCTATTTCTTTGCCAAGTTCCTTCATTGTATTCTCATTCCCAGTTATCTCTTCTTGAAGTTTAGAAATATTATCTTCCATCTCCTTCAGTACATCAGCTGAACGTGCTTTGGTTTCTTCAGCTAACCGAAACTGATATGCAACATAAAGACGACTCAGATGTTCTATCTCCCGCATCACTTTTTGGTATTCCAAGTAGGATGACCGTTCCTAGACAAAAACAAAACAAACAAACAAAAAGCAGCAAGCTGCTAAAGCATCATTGCAAATTATGATAAAATAGTACATTATATTAAACCCTATCCCACAAAGGAGCCAAAGCAGGATGAGAGGAAGGAAAAATCTCCCTCCGCTCATATAATGCTGGATTTTGCTCAGAGTAATAAGAACAGAACATGTGGCCAAAAGCACTGAAAAAGGTTAGTGCATTCCCTAAAATTATTCAAATTACTAGACTCGAAAAATATGACCCAGTGATATTGTGGGTCTAGCAGAATTTATCTCCAAACACCAGAAACTACTCTGTACATTAAAATGCAAAATTATACACAGTCCATGGCAGAAGACAGCAGCATACTGTTAGTGCCAATAGCAGCCTCTGTTTGGTGTCCAGCTAGAACATGGCTCTGTCCCAAAACCTCTGAATTAAGGATTTAGTCTGAGTAAGTTGTGTTCAGTTATGCATACACAATTTCAAACTTTTAAATTCTATGATACATTTAAAATTACTTCTCATTGTGACTCACCCCAAGATCTTTTGATCTAGTATGGGATATAAATAGGCTGAGAGCCAATGTGATATACTGGAGAGAGTGATGGATGAGGACTCAGGAGACCTGGGTTCAAATCTCCGCTTGGCCTTGGAAATTCACAAGGGGGTTGGGATAAAACCACTCCTTAAATGTGAGTTTCCCTCTAGGTGTGCGCCTGTGTGACTCTGCCCCCCTCTGCGCAAGGCTCCTCTTCTGCACACCCACAACGATTGTTCCCAGCCTGCCGGGAGGGGGGAGTCGCACAGGCGAAGGGCAAAGCTCCACCCAGCAGGACTGAAAATTAGAGGGAACGTTGTTTAACAATCCTATTAGGGTCACCATAACTTGGAAATGACTTGATGCCACATAAGACACACATATTCTAAATAAATAAGTGGATTCCAAAGTGGATTATATCATTAACTATCAAAAGAATAAAGTCACACCAAACTTGCACCATTTTTGTGTGTGTAGGCTATAACGTAAGCAGAAGGTTTGCTTCACTCCAAGGTCCTGCACACCTCGCTTTGCAACATTCAGTGACCGTCTCCTCTCCAGCTTTCTCCAAGCAATTCTATTCTCAAATGCAGTGATTCCCTAGCTTGGGTCTCCAGACGTTCTTGAACTGCAGCTCCCACAAGTCTTCAGCACTAATTGTGCTGGCAAGGGCTTCTGGGAGTTGCAGTCCAAGAACATTTGGGGACCCAGGTTTGAGAACCACTGTTCTAATTCATCTACTCCACTAAAGAATCTGGGAAAGTTATGGATCATACTGACTTGGAGATTCTTGGAATTCCAGTCCAAAGGGCTTAAGCTTCACTTCATTGCCCACTCTCCAAGCAAAGAGACACACAAAACTGTGCCCATGGACCGCTTGCTCCTCTTAGAACAATTTAATATAGCAACTGTTGAAACCTAGCCATGCCCAAAATATTCAAACACATCTGTCAGGCAGTTAGAACTCCTACAAGCATAAATTCACACCAACTTTTGAAACAAATGTCTACTCCAAACCTGCACTCGCTGAACTCCAAACGTAGTGAAGTTTACTCATGCATAAACAGCCATAGGATTGTGGTGGCCAGAATCCTATAGAGATTGCGTAAACTGTGGTGGCAAATCACAACTAATTAAGAAAGTGCTGGTTGCACATGCCAGTCACACGAGGAGGCACATAACTGGCACCCTGTTAATTTGCCACTAAGGCTTATGTAATTTCAGCTGCTCTGGAGTAAAATCCCAACAGGATTCTAGGCAATATAATACTTTTTTATTTCGAATCAGAATTACCTCTTTCAACTTCTGCAAAGTGGGAGTGATTTCTTCCTCCAAAATCTGTGGGGGTAGGGGGGGAAAACAGAATGGATTTAATTTTCAACTTTTCAACAGTTTCCATCATATTTTAAGCAGAGTACACAAGTGTGAGTGATGTTAATGAAAATAAAACTTATACAGTATTAAAATGTTGAGCAAAACTAGGAATGACTACATTTTTAAGAGGAAGAGAGGTATGCCAAACTAGTGTCAAAGTATCTTTTATCCTTTTTTACCTCTCAAACCTACTTCACTCTCTGCCATCTTATTTTTGATGTCAATAACATGGAATCCATTAATTAGGAAACATTAATACCGTGCAAATTTCTTTCAGTTTTGCTTCTTTTTTCTCTATGGTTTTCTGGGCAGCTATTTTCTTGCACTCATACATTCTTGTGCCGGCTGCTTCCTCAATCATGGCCAAAATCTGTGATAAAAACAATAAGCATATTATAATCTCAGTGTAAATTGTTCCTTTTTAAAACAAAGGAGGAGCAAAAGCAACATGAAACATACAAATGATTCTCACCTCTGGAGGCTTCATATTGAGGACCTTGGTTATCCGTCCCTAATGCAGAAACAAAATCAGCAGTCATTTGTTACTTTACACATTTTTCAAGTCCCATTTTTTTATATTTAGACAGTACCCCCTATACAGAGTGGCTTTTCATACCTTGCACTCAAGAAGCTTTAGAGCTATTGAATGATAACTAGCAAATGGTCGCCTTCCTAGCACTGCAGCCTAACTGAATGACTGACAGTCTAAAATAACTAAAATAACAGTAAAAGAAGATGAGAACAGAAGAATAGAGACCACATTTAAGTGTGCTTATTGTAAAATGTAAAGAAAAATAAATAAGCATATTTGCATTATTTTACCTGCATAATAAGAAAGTGAGGGTTATTGACATTTAATCCAATAGAACAGAAGAGATCCTGTACTCTAGTATTGTTTGCATTCACTCCATTGATAAGATACTTATTTCTACCTCCAATCACCACCTTAAGAGGAAAGAAACAAGGATTATTATGGACCAAAACATTTTTCTTGATGTTATACTGTTCAATAAGCAATATCAAATATGCATTTCAATATACAACAGTTTACAATATACCTTTTTAATGCTTCTATTTGCATAATTCTCTGGATATAATACATACACATTTAGAATTTAAGATGGCACTCACTTGTCTTGTTACTGTAATCTCATCATGATTTTCGAATCCTAGCGGGCTCTGTTTCTTGTCAAAATTATCAAAGGTGATTGATACTGTAGCTTTTGTAATTCCCGCCTGGCCATTTTTGTAAACAAGATCTTGCAAGTTGGAAGCTCGCACCTGAAAATATGAAAGAAGTAACTGAAATCAACAAGACAAACAGGTGGGTAGGTTTAGGCTGCAGTGTTGCATCCAGAATTAACTTCGTCTGTACTTTGTATTGAAAATGAAAATGCTATGGTCCTACGCACATTTAATCAGGCGTTTTGCTAGTGGAATACAATACATATTTGGGATGGGAGACAATAAAAAATATTTTTTTGAAACTGTTTAGTCTCATGTTACAATTTGTGGGAAGCATTTGAACAGCTCAAAAGATTTTCTCTAGAGTAACTTAGCGTTGCAAGGCCAAAGGTCATTTCACATGATGTCAATACAATCTTTTTTTCTACATCCTTGCAACGAATATGAAAGTAGGTGCTTGGCAGAAGTACTGTAGCCTAGCTTATTCCTTACCAGTCTAAAATGTCCAGCAATGGTGTTACCATGCTTTCACAGAAGGGTGTTCTTTGAAATTCAGATCAGTGCTATAACTATTAGGGGGTCTATGACTTTTCCCTGCAACATAGTCCTATTTTATGAGAATTCAGTTTTTGTTTGTACAAAGGAAAAGGGTACAATCCACAAAGCACCTGCATTGTAATAACTGCAAACAAAGATGAACAGGCAAGCCTTCTCTATCCTGGTACCATCTGGCTGTGTTTATTTATTTATTTATTTTATTTTATTTATATCCCACCTATCTAATCAATTAAGACCACTCTAGGCGGCCACTCTGTTGGACTGCAACAGCCATTATTTTTAGCCAATACAGCCATAATGACATAGGAAAACAAAATAACCAAGTAGGCTTGAATCCTACTGGTTATTCATGCAATTGTGTAAGTACAATGACATGAACTGCCATTAATTAACAAGTCCCCATGCATATTCCTTCTCATGTGCCAAATCACACGAAGAGGAATATGAGCATCTTTGCTGTCAATTTGCTGCTACAACTGATGCCACTGTACTTTTGTCATATATGCTGTAATGAAAAGGATTCTAGACATTAAGGACAAGGTTTTATAAGTGTTAAAACAGTACATCACCTGCCACTTCTTATCTTGGTGGCACTGACTCAGTTCACTTGGCAATCATAGCTACACATCTTTACAAAGTCTATTTTTTTGGTTCTGCTAGTCCAAATCAAGTGAAGATGGATTAAGGAGTGAATCCTTTATGTTTCTTTCTTTGCAGAACATACTATATGTATCTACATCTTCATTGTAATTATTACTACATCAACAGAGAAAATAGATAATTTGTTTAGTTTTTACTAAATGGAAATAGACACTTAGGTTAACCAGAAACAGCCCAAAGAATTTGGGTAAAGGTGGGACTTCCAAGTTTCCTCTCATGCCTAACTCTTGGTGCTATCCATGGACCGATCATTTTATGCTGTAATAATTACACATTAGCTTGATTCCAATCATTCCTAACCAAAAGAATAACAAAGGTTCTCTAGTAGTTGTAGAACACTATACAGTGAAACATGAAAAAAGACATGGTCTAGGAGGAGGAAATAATCCTGGTAAGAGATGAGAAACATACTCACCTGTGACAGATTAGTGATGCCCAGTAAGAAACAGATGGAGTCCAGTATGTTGGACTTGCCACTTCCATTTAAGCCAGTAATAGCATTGAACAATGGGTCAAAATCATTAACCTCTGTCCTTTGAGCATAAGACTTGAACCCCTCAAGGACAATAGACTTGATGTACATTTTAATTGGTCCTCCTGGAGATTCCAACCAAACTGACTTCCAACCTATGAAATAATATGTTCAGCTTGTCATTCTGTGGCATACAAAACATGTATATATTTTTTAAAAAGCAACTGGGAAGAATTGAGCAAATGACAGGCACGACAAGTGCTGCAATTGATCATCTGAGAGTTAATTCCATCAAACGCACTAACACATACAGTACTTTACAGTAGTCATGCATACGAATGTTCCAGACAGCAACAGAAAGAAGATCAGTAACATCTTGAGTCCCAATGAATTTGACATTTGAAATGTTATTTCCAGAATGGACCTTAATGGCAACAAATATATGGTAGAGAAAGAATATGTTGTGGTTTGTTTCCAGATTCAATTTGAGATACTGACGTTACTTTTTCACATTGTAAATAGTTTTGCCCACTTGTTCCTTGACATGACTACAGGTTCTGATTTATTTTGTTTTGTTCTTCCACTAGAATGCACTTCAACTGCAGCTTGCATGGCAATGTTACAAAGCTGCTGTTGCTTTTACATATCACATATATCTTCATCTTCAGTTGACCACATTTCAGAGCAACTATATATTACTTTTTAGATATAAATCCCATTGAACTCTACTGAGCTTCCTTTCTGGAATACATGCTTAAGACAACTGACCTGGCAACAGGGGCTAACAGACTATATAGACTGTAAGACTTTTTTAAAAACAATATATAAACTTAAATATTTTATTTGTTCAAAATAAATGCAAAAGTGCTAGACTGGCACCCATAACAACACAAAAAATAGCATTTGGCAGTGGATTCCAGCCCAAGAAAATGTAAGCCACTGAGTCCTAGGCATGTTTATTGGGGGTGTGTGTGTCTTTATTGAAAGAACATGTTAACAACAAAATAATAGTACAGGTCTTTCAATAAATATGCATAATCTGATATAGTATCTTCACTCCATTGTAGTCTGCTTCAGATTAGAATACTGTACCAAATATTGATATTGACGGTTGGCAGAAAATAAGACTTGTCATTCTAATTAACGTTAAAAAAATTAGAAGGAAACCATGTGTTGGAAAAACCATCCTGGGAGTATGATTGTTTAAGTAATTTGAACTGGTGTGTTAACTTTTCCAGCAGGGCAATATACCATACTCCGTTTCTCCGTGCACACAAAAGTAATTTACAAGTTTCCTTCTGGTTTGTGCAATTTCCAAATGCACTGCCATAAAGAAAATCACTATCAATTTTTATGAATTAACTGTTTGTTATTGTCTGAAAATACAAAAGGATAGAGGAGCTAGATCCAGCAGCATTATGATTTTTTGCCCTGTGATTAATTCCAGAAAATATCTGGGCCACAACAACTGTATTGGAGGACAGGTCCACCACATATGAAAGTATATACAGTACAGTACTGATATTCTCACATTTCATCAGCAGGTTGAACTGAATTCATTATTGATATAGCTTTAAATAGACTGGTATAAGATACCACCTGTAGAAAGCTTAATAGAATTTTTATTTATTTATTTTATTTATATCCCACCTATCTGGTCAATTACAACCACTCTAGGCGGCTTAACTTTGAATGCTCCTTAACTTTGGAGATTGGTCTGAAAGTCATCTCATTTCGCAGATCCTATCCTTTTATATCAGATACAGCCATCCTCAAATCACTTTCCCAAACCATTCTGGGAGCGAGTTTACAGCCACAGTAGAGGATGCATTTGGTATTTCATACAATTTTGAGACCAACTCCACTGGATATTTTTCTGAGACTAGGGGCAATGTTTCAAGTGCAGTTAATTGTCTAGCGGGCTGTACTTTCACTACCTGAAGAAAAATGAACCCAAAATGTTTGGAAAATAAGACAGGCTTAATGAAAACTAAATCCCACTGAAATCAACAGGACTTACCCCCGTGTAGGTCTGCAGGAGGAAAACCTGCCTAAATAAAACAGGGCGTTGTTCAGAGAGCAGAAATGTTCACCAGCAACTGTAAAAAGATTTTCTTGCTCACAGAGAACAGATCCTCCGGAGAAAGGAAAGAAGTGTCGCCATCACCGCTCAAAACCTCTACGAGTGCCCCGCCTCGCCTTCCGGCCGCCCCGACGATCAGGTTCTTCCGTCCTTTCCTTTACTTGAATTTTGGCGCGGGCAAAGAGGACCTTTTCCTCCGCTTCGCGCAACGCTCCATCGAGAGCTGGCTAGTTCACTGCCTGGTTTTTCCTATCCCTTTTACTGTATTGTACTCTTCAATGACTATTCAGGCAGTTCGCGTGGAAGCCCCGAGAGTTACTAACGGGCAACGCCTCCATCTCCCCCACCCCTTTCCCATTCTTCTCTTGCGATGTGATAGGTGGGAAAGAATTGGAAAGCGAGGCAGGGGCTGGGTCCTCATCCTTTTGCACTGAGAGCGAGTAGAGCGTTTGTTTTGGTTAGAGAAGAAGAGGCGTCTGGGTAATGTAGGAAATGTGAGTCGCTGCTCTGTAGGCTGCCTGTGTGTTCTCTGATCGTGCTATGCGTTAAAAAAATACATCGAAAGAAAATCCTCTAGCTTAGTATGTTAATGCCAATTTCTCCTTGGAAGAAGTTAACGAGTCTTAATTTTGGAGTCTGGTCTTTATTCGTTGATGGTGCGGCTCCATTCTTTAGAGAGGACTTTTTAATCTCTCTCTCTCTGGTTCTGCCTATCAGCCAAAGATGGGAAATGTTAATTTTATTTTAAAATTTTTAAAAAGGTATACCATGCACTTTGGCTTAATAAGTAGGAAACTTGCAAGTATGTGGTCTTGGGACACTTTTACAGGAAATAGGACGTCCACATTAAGAAGTGAAACTAATGTATTATGGTTAAATTCACAGTACAGTATGTAGTTTCACAGAAGAAAAGAGAGAGCTTTATTTCTTCTAGAGTGGGAAGTGCTTCAGATTTAAGGGTATACAACCAGGCAGTTGGACAGAAGTATCTCTGCAAACATTTACTGCATCATTTCTCCTTTCTGGTGCAGCACAGGATGAAGATATATGGTGAATAGGGCAGTTTGTGATATGGAGGCTAGGGGTGGAGTGCTGGATATCTTACCCATCCATGTCGTTCCTCAGTGGATTATAGTCATAAGACACTTTAATACTTTTCTGTGTAAACATTCTGTTTTCCACACCCAGTGGCTGGAGTGCTGGATATCTTACCCATCCATGTACAGTAGTTCCTCAGTGGATTATAGTCATAAGATACTTTAATACTTTTCTGTTTAAACATTCTGTTTTCCACACCCAGTGGAATGAGTGTTGCTTAGAATGTTCAAGTGAAATCTTGTGCTTAAATTAATTGCATTGTGATGTTTTGTGTCACAATTTAAGTTGGCCTTAAATCAATCAGTCCAAAGGTTTTGGGAATGAGAATAACTAGTACAGAAATATATTTGGATAATTGCTTTTTAAAATGCAGAATATACAATGGGTGCACCAGGAATTTAGAAAAGCTGCTTAAGTTGCTTTGCAGGCAGTAGACCTTGGATGACTGTCTTAATGTGGTGAGGGTGGGTGCAAAGCTGAGAGCTATTCCCTCTGGAGGCAAGACTCTGTTCTCTGGACTCCAACAGGGTCACCCAGTGGAAAGGTAAAAACTGAGACACCAGACTAAGATGCAGCCACTTTCTTCAAGTTTAACTGTAACATCAGCAGAAGAGAACAGATGGTTGCAACATTGATGCAGGCATAGGAGACCCTTGGAGGGCATCTACAAGGCAGTAATAATACAGTAGTTTGGCGCTGGTGGAGCATCTTTCACAGATAATAGCACAGACATATTACTTCTTGTTAGTACTGCACCACAGAGGACAATAATGAAGCACTATTGAATATTTTTTTACTTTGCAAACCCTGCGATGAAATAGTTCAAAATGAAATGAGAGCTAGTACTGGAGGGTGAGACTTTCAGGTCAGGAAGCACTCTGTCAGCTGCTGGGGAAGAGCAAAGGCCAAATGTAGACAGCACTGTCACTAATGAGACAACTAGATTAAAGCCAAAGGGACATCTAGTGGCCAGTGTGCACAGAGATAAAAGGAAAGTCCAAAATGGACAGGCTACTACCCTATTAAATCCTTGCAGGGCAGTTTCCTGGGAAATGTTCATTTCAGTGCACTAGGAATTCTAGGAGGCATTGTCACAGTAGCACAAAAGGGAGCCTCGGGCTAGGTTGAAACCCAGTGTTGAAGTACAGCGAATTATCATACACTGCATTGATACTTGGAAGAGGGGATATTCAGAGTCACAGCCCAGAAGCATAAGTTAGGTGGGGACAAGGGAGCCCAGTTCATAAGTATTACCTACCTTTATTTTTATGTTTTGGACATGAGGGTTCAAAAAAAAATGTCACCCCCCTTCTTTATATTTCATGTATAAGAGAGAACAGAATAAAGCAAGAAAATAAGATGGCATGGGGACTGGTACTGTCAGAATAGGGAAGAGGAGAGCCAGACCCTCTTCAGAATACCAATTTCACCTTGCTAAGGAAAGAGATCCCCCTTCCACTGCAGAGAATGGCCATATTACACTAGGTAACAAACAAATCTTCCTCTTTACATTAGGGCATACCAAGCTGGAATGTTCTCAAGTTACTGCAGTGATGAATTGTTGGTCATGCTCCAAATTAGAGAGCTGTTTAGGGAATTCTGTAGTCCAGAAACATAAATGTGCACATCTGTACTCCCGGCTGCAGGGCCAATGTGGGTCAGACTCCTACTCAATTAGCCACCGCAATTTATATAATATCTCTTCCACACACATAAATGGTTTAGGACCTCAGTACCTATCAGAACACCTGCTCCCAGCCAGATCTGTCCGTAATACCTGTTCTTCACATGCAGGGTGGTTGAGGGCCTTGACCCCGAAGGAGGCACAGGGGGAAAGAAGAAGAAACCAGCCTTCTCAGCAGTCACCCCTCGCCTGTGGAACAACCTGCCCATTGAGATCCGCCTGGCACCATCACTGGATAGATTCAAATGAGTATTGAAGACATGGCTCTTCTGTCAGGCTTTCTCTGAGTGTTAAGTTTTGAGATCTCGGCCTCCCTTTTACCATTCTTTTCATCATCCTTTTTACCACCTCATTGACATCTGTTTTAATTTATCCTGCTGGTTATTATATTTGTTGTATGTATGTATTATTATTTTGATTGTGTTTTGATATTGAGTTGTTTATCTTGTTGTTAGCCACCCAGAGTGGCCTGGTTGCCAGATGGTGCGGAGTATAAATCCAATAAATAAAATAAACAAACAAATAAATAAGTGGGAGAGATCAATAAAAATAATCTCACTGCACCAGGAAAAGGTTCTGTTTAACTGCCTTTTGAAGGAAAAGAAAGGAAGCCACGGCGAAGAAGTCTAATCAATAGTGTATAATAAAGGAGGAGGGTCCCTCCCAGATGTCCAACCTGCCAATATCAACCCGTGGAGCCCTGGCACTCAAAGTAACCAACATGGCTGCATTCTTGGAATGGGCAAATGATGGTCTCTGAGACAGCCAGGCTAGAACTATTTTATGCTTGGGCAATAAATTCCTCTCAGCCATCTAGCTAAGGTTGTTTTTGACACTTTCTTGTCCATAGCAATGGGATGAAAGGAAACAGACAAGGCAGTTCTGCCAGGGCTTTAGTAAAAATAAAGCAACAATCTCAGTCCTTTCAGAGGTCTAATTATAATTACTTTAAGTAGCATTTTTATTACTATGATGATCACTAGAGTAAAAACACAACAGAGCACATGCTATTTACATGCAAATGAAAGGAGACTGAAATGGGGATTAAAAAGACATGGTTAGAGTGACCATTGAAGAGTTAACCGGGACATTTTTAGTGAGCCTGTTATACTAAATGCCACCGTGTCTAGAGAGAACACCTCTGCAAACAGTGCCATGGTGACTTCCTCCATGGCTTCCCTCAAGAGCTTCTGCTTCCTGGTGACCCTTTCCATATGTCACTTGAGTGACCCTGCACTGCTTTCTAGGGGTGGGTGTCCTTGGCCCACAAGAAAAGGCATTTTTATGTTCAAGTATGCCTCTCTGAGGAGAAGGCTGTAGAGGCTTCCCACAAAGTCCTTGAAGGAGAAGGATAGGTCCTTTTCTGATGGTCCTTGTGAGAGAGCCCTGCATTTGCAGACAGGAAACACAAGGAGTGTGTAAGGCATACATGAAACGGAGGACCAGCCTCGGAGCTCAGGAGGTCCAGGCAGGAGAGGAATGTGTAGCTTACCCAATTCAATTGTAAACCGCCCAGGGAGTATTTTAAGCCCCATGGTGCAGTCTATAAGCAGCACACTTTGCTTTTCTTGTTGATTGCAGTGCAGTCTGATATTGAAGTCTTTAATCTTTGACCTGCATGGCAGAAAAGACAGAGGTCAAACACAACCCAATGTTTTCAGGAGTTCAGAGGGGAGCTTTGGAGAAGAGCCTGGCTGGGGCAAGAGCAACAGGGGCATGGGCTATGGTGATCCCCCCTCCTGAGACAGATGGGGGGGACTCCAAAAGGTACCTTTGGATCTGGACGGTGGCATGCAAGCCCACCCCCCACCTTGGGTGCAGACTAGCTGCAGGGTCCCCATCACTCACACTTTCTCCTTTAGCAAGAGGATGTGTTCCTGGAGAAGTTCCTTCTTTTGATGGACATCCTCCTTTTCCTCCATCCCAAGGAAGTTGTCCATTCTATCCTTGATCCCTGGGCCCAGCAGGCTTTTGTTCTGCAAGATGGACAGAGTGACAGATGCAAGGCTGAACTTGGCCAGGAATGAGGAAACGGCCTTTCCTGGATTAGGTGAATCCAGACCTCCAACAGTCCCCCCATTGTTCTAGGTCACAGTGAATCCCAGAACAGCCTTTGTTCTAGGTGGCCCTTTTCAAGCCATTTGTTTGGAGGAAAAAAGAATAAGGATGAAACCCTTCTGCAGGATTGGCCAGGCAACCTTGCCACCTCTGATGGATGGCTCTCCAAGCACTCTCTCAGTGCCTGCAGTGGGGATGCCAGGGGCAGCCTGTTCCCTTGCCAAGGAGACGTACCAGCTGGGATGTTCCTCCTAAGGTTTTCCCAGCATCCCTCCCCACTGACTGTGCAGGCAGAGGATAGTAGACATTGTGATCCAGCTACAGCTGGGAGTTCACTCATGGCCTGTTGTGTCCTTCAAAAAGGGATCTTGGCTGGAAAGAAAAAGGTATTCCTTGACTATTTGTTTATCAGTCTCCAGCTGCAG